AGAAGTTGAAATGTTCAAGGCCAGAGAATAGATGCAAAATTGCAATATGGAATCTACCAGTGATGGAACAGAATAAAATACCTTTTGTTTAGGTTGACATAGAGAAACTGTGAACAAAAGAGCATCTGACACCCTGAGCAACTTTTAAAAAGCAGCATGGGAAAGAACACAGTGCTTAACTGTTTATTTACATTTGAACAGTTTTTTTTTGAAATTGACAACTTTGCTTCCTTGGGAATTTGGCATAATTCCCAAACCACAGGCCCTTCCAGATATCTCAGTTATGTCCAATATCCTCGATTTTCAGTGCTGGAAGATGCATGCCAGTCAAACCTCTTCCCACAGGACGTGTGGGATTGTTTTGGTGAGTACAAACACAGGAGAAAGAAGCAGGCTGTCAGTTTGACCATTATGAAATCCATTATCAAATGGGACAATTCTCTAAAATTAAAACCTTTCTCTTCTCAGTGTAAGAAAGCTTTGTTGAAACCTTACAGCAAGTCTGACTTCTGTGTACCAGAAAGAATTCTGGGATACCATTTTGAACCTTTACCATGAAAAAGAATTTTAAAACTTGTTAAATGGAAAAGCAGAATATAAGGCCATGGACTGCCCCTCTGAAAACAAACTGCTGCCAACACCCCCCGAGATTTAAAATGAGGGCTTGAGGCACTCCAGGCTGAAATGAATGTTTTGAGAGAGGTTCTCTCTCTTGCTAGAGCTTACACTATCAAAAGAAGAAAGATTAAGCTAATGCTGAAGAGGAAAGCACAATTACATTTTAAAATTGCTTTTTGAAAGAGATGCTGGGAGTCCTGTCCACTGGCACAGTTGGAATACCATAGAATAACCACACCACTACATGTACAAAAGCAAGTAATCTTACACTGCCAAGGAGAGACTATTCTGTTACAATCACTGCTCTCTCAAGTATGCTCTGACTAGGAGCTCTGGCTCTAACTCACTAAATCATGTTTGATTTTAAAAATGCAGAACATTCTTTGCCACTTCTTTCACTCCAACAAAATCCTGGTAACGTACCTAGATCCTACTGCCTTCCTTCTTTCATATCAGGACACAAATTTCAGCTTCTGGCAAAGCTACTTGTGCTTTCTATCATGACACTCTAAAGTAATCAGAATTAGTCATTTAATCTCTATCCAGGCTAAAATGGCTTACTAGAGAAATCTCAGCTTAATAAATTATGTATAAGAATTCTCCCTTTTATGTAGTGTGAGCAGACATTTGAGCTATAACATCATTTATGGCTGCAGCAGAATGAAATGAGCAAATACAGGGTGCTACAACCCAGTGGAAGTTCATATTGGTCACAAAGCTCGTACACATGGAAAGAAGCAAGTGCCAAAGCCAGAACATTTGCCAAAAGCCTTTCCCATTCTTAAAGACAGCAAACTTGCAGCCCATCACAAGCCAAAGACAATGACAGGTAGCTTGTCAGAAGCAAGCTTTTCTCTTCTTATGCTTCTACCAACCTGGAGCTATGATGTCCAATTTGGAAACCCAGAAATGTTTCAATATTTGGTGGGAAAAACCAGACGTGCTCCACCCAGCCTGTGAATCCTGCTGCCCTCCCCACCTGCAGTATTTATTTTGTACAGTATATCCTTCATGAGAGTGAGTTTGTCACTTGATTTTCCCACAACATCCCCAGTGTCTACACTCTGGTTCCTCTCAAAGATTCCAAAAATGGAGAGAAACATCAAGTTAACCTGCTTTAATTTCAGAACATTGTTACAGCAAGTATTGCTCTGAAAAACCTCTGTCAGCTTCCTTTCAGCTGCAAAGTCTTCAAGTCCAAGACATGGCACCTGCAGGCACAGATTGCAGTTTCAGTTTCTTAGGATAGTGGAAAGAGAGATGCAGCAGATGATTATCCCCCTGTTCCCACTTAGATGAAAATTTCAGTGAGTGGCAGCAGAAGGAGTTAATTAAAGGTCTGCTTTCTCTTTTCCTGTAGGAAAAATAAAAAGTTTTCTAAGTCTGAGCTCCACTCTGAGGTAACTAGACAGCTAATAACTTCAGGAGGGATTTTAGTCACTTGAGGAAACTGCTCAGGGAGTCACCTGACAGCAAGCTGACACTTTCAGAAAAGAGGATATTTCACTGGCATTTGTTGAGAAAGTGAGTGAAAGGAAACTGCTTTCACAGACAGGGACAATAATGACATGCCAGGCACACTGGAAACTTTTCCCTTGGCCACAAAGTCTTTAAGTCTCACATTTTGTATCTGCAGGTCTGTTCTAGGGAAGGCACAAAGGGGATAAGGGACCAGGACTGTCCTGCCCTCCCAGCTCAGCTCAAACCACGTTCAAGACAAGCAGGAAGAGCAGCACAAGGAATGTTGCCTTTTACTTTGCCTAAATCCAGCTCTAGGTTTAGCTTAGCTCAAGACCAATTGACCACTCTGTCTGTTCTGTCACAGCCATCAGCAGGGAGCCCCAACTCCACCAGGGATCACTAGAGGAGACCCAGCACCCAAGGAATATGTGAATATGGTAAAAAAAAATGGACCAATGCTAGATAGAGCTCACAAAGCTGAGTGAAACTTGGGTACAAAGCACCTAGCTCTGCATAATTGGCACCACAACCAACTAAAGGCATAGGTACCCTGAAGATGGGGATACCTCAGAGGAATAACCAAGTCTAAAAATATGAGATCTTTCTGAAAAAAAAAAAAAAATCCCCAAAGCTGCTTTTTCATGTATTTGGAATCTGTATGAATATATTTGGGAGGAATATACAGTATCTACATTTCAAACTAGTTGAACACTTTTGGAGCCAGAGATGGAACAGTTTATTAAAATGAAAAGTGTAATTCTGGTATTTATACTCCAAAGGATATGCAATACATTACAAATGTAACTAGCAGAAGGTACCAGTTCATCTTAATTCTACAAAATTCCATTTGCAGAAATAGACCAGAGAAGTGTTAGAAGCGACAGGCTGGGGAGCTATTTCTATAAAAAAAAATTGCAGATATTTAAACCAGAATAAATTCTAAATTCTAAAAAGTTGCCTCTTAACGTGCATCACCTCAAATCTCTGAAGTATTGTACCTTCCACGCATTTCCAAGAGCATATATTATTCACATTATTTAACATTTGCATTCTGATTGCAATCAGCCTTCTTTTAATAAAATAAATAGTGTTACAGTCTGTTAACCTAGAACCATCAAACTCTCGCTTCCATTATCAATCAATGCCACTTTTCTGCTGACTGCAACTCAATTAAAATCCAATTATTTGAATAACTGGATGGAAATTGCTATCATAAGATGTACATTTTTATTAGGAACATTTTGTGTAGAAAATTGACAGCACAGGAGTTGTGACACTATGGTTAAAAAATGTTTTGTAACCTGGGCCGGGAAAAGCAATGTCAATAAATATGGAGAGACAGTGTCACTTCTGAAGTAGGTATTTGATTCTAAAGTTGGGCTTTTTGACTCAGAACAGGTCCAAAATTATGTGAATTCTGCTAGCATTGCCATGAGTTTTGAAAAAGTTGGTTCTTCTAAGCCTCAAAGATTGCTATTTCTACATATTTTAAGAAAGAAAAAAGTTAGTTATATATTCTGAGAGCATCCCACCACATTACCCATGGACTTAATAATAAAATAAGTCAGTCAGTGATACTGATTCTTGAGGTGATAGCAATATCAAATTCTTTCATTTATTTTATTTCTCAAATTAACTAAGACCAGGTAAAGAGCTGTTTATTAACAGGACATCTCTCTTAATACGATTGAAGCTGTGTACCTTATAAAAATATCTTAGGAGGAAATCCCCAAGTATAAATTTGCTTCTTAAGATTTTAATCACATCAAGTTTCTACCATAGCTCTGATTTATTACACCAAAGTGTGGATCACATATTCTTCTTTCATCCAACACTAAAAAGCTGAATTCTTTTATACTGATAACGTATGCAGATAAAAAATATCATTACACTACTTTACTTTCAGTATGCCAGCTCTATATATGAAAAGAAAATCTTTAAAAATGTCTAGTTGTAAAGTGTAATGTTACTAAATAGATTTAAAAGATTAAAAAATTTCTATTTTTCATGTCTAATTATCTAGGACTCACTTGGCACCTGGAAATTGCTATGGAGAACCATTTTTAGGAAAAAAAAGCCTCCATCTAACATATTTCTTTAGCTGATCTCAAATACCCTTACAAAACAAATACAGGTTCTCTAATATATTTCTTTTCAATGTAATCTTATTGTCTTCTACCTTGCATCATAAAATCATATAATCTGAATTATACCTACTACAGTTTTAATAAATTTCTGCAGAGGCTGTTCACTGAAGATTACTCAGAGGATTTAAACTGGGCTATTAGATTATGATTACTTACATTTGACAAAATAACTTGAAATGGCACACAGCAAGGAATGAAAAGAGCCAAAAAAAAATCAAGGCTAAGAAAATGGAAATATTATAGATAAGCAAGTAATTCCAAAATGTGATTTATAATAAAAGAAACAACTCTTGATAGAATGTCATGTTCATATTACTTTTCCATCGTGTTTACTTGATTTTTGTTCCATAAATTAGATTTTATATCTTCCCTGTCATTTTCCTTGTGATTTCAGGCAACACCCCTAAAATATTTTTAGCTGCTTTACAAACTGTGAAGTTGCATTAAGTAGTGAACATTGTTTATCACAAGTGCACGACAGTTTTCATATATGCTGGAACCTGTCTACTTCCTGGAAATGTATAATACTTTTATATACACACAGTCTAGCTCCTTCTAAAGCTAATAATAAATGTGTACTCATAGCCTTTTGGCTCTACATGCTAGCAGAGTCTCTTAGGCAAGCTCTGAAAAGTCATCTTATAAAAGGGGTCCACAAAAAATTCCAGAATCCAATCCACTCATTTTTTTTCACCCAGACAGTCTTTAAAAGTGAGATAATTTACATGATGTATGTTAAAATCGCAGCTACTCACCCTTTTTCTCAAGTTGTAGGTCAAAATGAGATTTCTGGAGAAGGAGTGTGAAAAGGCTGTGTAGAATTCCAGCACTTTCTGCAAGGCATCCCTTTTAATCACATGGAGGTCACAGTAAGTCAGAGCCCTCACATTAGCACAGGACTGGGCCAGAGTCGACTCCTTCCAGAACACATCACCAAAAACGTCTCCTTTGCCTACAGAAAACCAACAGCATTGCTCTCAATAACAGCACTATTTCCATCAAAAATATAAAAGAACAGACATCTCATTCATACAGTCATGTTTCTTCTATTTTTGCACTCAGGAAGAAAAATGAAAAAAAACCCCAACGTTGAAATATTTAATTGATAAATTTTTCCATTATCTTTTTCTTAATTACAACAGACTAACAAAACTTCATAAGAAGAAATCATATTAAAAAGTGTTCTATGTGACAAGTCTCCTTTAAATATCAATAAATGTTTTTCTTTAAAAATCGAGAAAAGTGGTTCATTCTTGCTTCATGTTCTCTTCTGATCCTTCTCAAAGAAATTAATTAAAAGAAAATGTTTTTTCCCTTCCTCCTTTTAACTGTCACATAAAAGATCTGTTTCTTACAGCTGTGTTGTTGATTTTTCTTAATCTGGCTAACATTTACCCACTGTTGTATCAATAAAATCATCCTGTATCACACATCAGTGCAGTCACAGGCTGCAGCCAAACAGAGTCCAAACCAAGAGAGTACAATAAGAGTAACACAACAATGACAAGGCATGAAAGTTTAGCTGTTTCACACTGGAAGGAAGGAAACATCCACTGCCTCACACCCTTCCCATGCCCATGTCTGTATGGGCAGCCAGTGAAATCTCTGCTGTGGAATACTGCCAGGATGGCATTTGCATCACTCTGGGCACCAAAACCTGCCTGAGGAGCAGCCCCCAGGCAGGATTTCACTGGTTACACCCCAGCTCGGGCTGGGAACAAGAGGCAGTGTGTAGGAGAAAGTTAGAAGTTCATTTACAAGAGCAAATGGTCTTTTTTCCCCCCTATATTCCAATACATAATGCTAACAAAAAAAGGAATATTCACTTGTTACCTTGATAATGAAAAGCTACACTGCTCTTGTTTTGAAATGTGTTTTCCTCCCAAACTGCTGCTGTGCTATATCATCACTGCCCATCTCTCGAGACCAATGACATGGAAATACCTATATATATTCATATCTATCAAGTTGTGGTAGGAATGGTTCCTTGTCTTCTAAGCAATACCTTGCCCGTAGCAATTCTTAAATCCAAAGCATCAAAATATATATTAGTTTACTGACTTCACCCAGGTTCTTTCAGATTTTCTTCCCTAAACAGTAATTTTTGAAAGCCTATATGAAGTCAAGAGAACTATCATAAGTAAGGAGCTCAAGAAAACTTCTAAATCAAACTCAGAATTCCCATCTCAGCCCTTCAGCTGTACTTCCACCCTTATCTAATCTCTTCCATTAGATGATAAGAATTTTTTCTCTGAGAAAAAGCTATCAGCTTTTGGTAAACTATCCTGAATTGCAATAAGTTGTTGTTAACTCTAATGTGTTCCCAGTCTTCCATAGAAGACTTAAACTATCCACCTTGCATGGATCAGTTTAGATCCTGGCCACTTTAGACTTAATTTTAAATGTGCATATACACTGAAACTACCTGTTCTGTTAGCACATTTTTCACAAAATTAAGCAAAGACACCATTAAGATCATCTTTCTTCCACCTCTAGTCTCTTGCATAGGACAATGCAAGTACAAAAGCTTCATATCACCAAGCATGGTGGTAGTCCCACAGCCCAGTACAATAAACACCTTTTCTTTTTTTAATAGGAAGGATTTTTCAGATTTTCAATTATTTGTATGGTTTTTGTTAGCAGATACATTAAAAATGTCTAAAGAAAAAAGCGTCCATGCACTTGAAACAGATCGTGTACAAGGCTTTTAGACAAATACACAATATATTCAAAATTGAAATGAAACAATTTTTATGCACCATAAAAACTGATATGCTTCACTGGGTAAAAATGGATTGTTTGCCTTTGGAATAAATATGCTTTTATTCACAATCTTCCAGGCAATTAGCTAAACAACTGTTTTAATTAACGCTCTGGAATCTATCAAGCATTGAATTGTGCCATCAGTGATGAGCAACAGTTAGAGCTGGTAGTCCAAGCACAAGGGAGAGAGGAATTCTAACTCATTTCTTAGTGTATTGCTTAACATCACCAGGGACAAGCTTCCCTACCTTAAAATGACAACCATTAGGTTACTGCCCCACAGTAACACGATGAATAATTAGTACAATCCAAGCACAAACAGCATGGTGCTGCTGTGCCTACCTCAGCAGTGAGGTACAACAGAAGTTGGTTGTGTCTTGCTCTTTTGGAAATTTAACTTTGTTTTTCCCATAACACAGAAAGACACAACTTTGTCCTTCACTTGTGGAACCAACCAGTTTCCCTTCACTATTTGAAACTCTTCCCTCTGAAAAAATCTCCCTCCTGCAGTGTTCTGCCACCTCCCATTAGTGGCAAGAACAGCACAGGAAGGAGCTGGGTCTACTGGGTGCCCACTGAGCCAAACCAGAGAAAAGCAACACATGAGCAACAAACTCAAATCACAGAAGTCCCTGTTTTTGAGAAACAAACTAAAAAACCCAAAGAAGTTGTACTCTTTGATTAAAAAACTTCCTTGAAGTTAACAGCCAGTGATCTAGCTGAAAGTGAATCCTACCCTGTATTTCAGTTTCCAAGGCAAGGCACATGCAAGCACCTCATTGCTTTATTTCTGTCAAGTCCATTTTCTAAATGATGTGTACCAAATGTATTAAATTTGATTGTCAGAGTCTAAAAAAAACCCCACTTGTTTGACATTTATATAAAAATGAGGTGGGGGGAGAACCAGTAGAAATCTATATAGTAAGAAGGAATTAAAATTCCACCCAGGATTACCTGCATTAGAACAATTGGCCTCTTATTCATAATAAGGAATTGCATACCATCTCCCTTTGTCTATATGTTCTCCACAAAGTAAGATCAATCACTGTGGGAAAAGGAATTAAAAAAAAAAAAGGGGGGGAGGCAGACTAAGTAGGTGTTTTATCAAAACCATCTGTAGTTGGAAAGCAAGAAGGGTATGGTGATACTTCTGAGTCAGAAGGTGGTTGGCAAAGTCCATAAGGGAACCTGAGCCAAAAGCCTCTTTTTATATATAACTTCAGGCTTTATATATTTCACCTTACCTCTGAAGAAAGATTAAAAAGCTAGAGAAATGCAGATGGCCACTTGTTTGTCAGTACTTTGCATTTCTCATTCCCAGCTTGCTGAATTCCAGATGTTTGCCAGGAACATTATCTGTCAATCACACTTAAAGTGGATGATCTAAGCTTTTACCATCAATCATTTATATTCCCTGCTGGATTTGTGGGCTGAGGACCTTTTCCACCATCAGCACAGCATGCACTGGAAAGCCAAGTAGTTTTCTGCCTTTTATGCTTCCTTGTTTGTTTTAATTATCACAACAAGTCCCCAAACCCTGATATATTTAAACTGCAAAGAAATATTTTATAAAACCGTCTGTTATCAAATTTGCTGTTTATCTCAAAAGTGAAAAGATGATTTCTCTGTTACCACTGCCAATTCAGCCTGAGTCAGGCATAAGGTCAAGCCACATCCATTCTGTCTCCTGAAAGCATCACCAGTGACGAAGATCTGCTTATTGCAGCTTAGTCAGGTGTTCAGCTGATTCTGAGGAAAGAACCACACTCTGACATTACAACTGTACTGCCTTGATACCACAACAACCCTTGGCCTTTTCACTCTTAGAAGGGGAAAGATTGAAGAGCTCGTCTTTCAGACAGAAGATATTCCACTCTACTCCAAAAAAATATGACTCGTGTGGAATATGTTTGGCTGATAACCTACCCAATCCACTTTTGGGTTCTGGGTGTCTGGAAGTCCTGGTGCAGTTTTGGTGAGATAGCTGGGGGGAAGATAAGGCTATGGATTCATGTGTTGCAGGACTTCCAAATATAATTTTGAAGGCATTCACATGAATCCATGGATTTTCAGTATATCAGAGAAAATATTCATGTTTGAATCATTCTCAAAGCAATAGCAATGGTTGTTACAGCAGCCAATAGCAGAATCTATTTCCCAATTTGCCTTCATCTGCATGCTTGAACGATAGAATTAGGATCTGACACAGTATCAGCAGATCCAAAGATGAGATAGAATGGCCAAACACTGCTCATGGTTGAGCAGTGAATGACCAAACACTGCTCCCCTCGGGGGCACTGCAGCACTAAGCATATCTTGGCAATCAGGTGTTGAGCAAACACAGCTACCTGTGATGCTGATCCACAGTGCCTGCCACAATGACTTTCCCAGCACAGCTCCCTGGAGCTCCCACACTGGCCTGCACCCCCAGCATCTGCTCTCCACCTCCAAACAGTGGGAGACAACAACTGCTCTAAGAGCAAACACAGATTTTTCTAGGGTCAAATTCCTGTGATCATCACATGATAATTTGGCTTCAACTGAAAGTCCTTCCCTTCTCCTCTCTTCCCTCATTTCCTCCAAATCTAAGTAAAGCATGCAATTTAAACTTTCTCACTTTACAGGGAGGAGAAAGATTCAAGGAAAGGAAAGACACTAGAGCAAAAATAATTTTTCCTCTTGCTACATTGATGAAACAAAAACTGTCAGCCAGAAAAAAACGGAGCTGTCATTTGGCATTGAGGTGGAGTATCCAGTATCTGTCCTACAGATAAATTGCACAACTTGACAGCCACTGAATAGCCTTAGTTTGGTTCTCCAACACAGTACAGCTGGCAGGGGATGATGCATGGAAGTGGTTTGCTGCTTTGGATTTTCTTAAGATTTCTCAAGTGCAAACTGAGACACGTAGTGAAAAGTGGATGGCCAACTGCACTGCAGAGAATACACTACTTTTAATTAACCAGAGGTTTTAACTACTTTTTTCCTCTAACTAGACCTCCAAAAAGCCTGGGTATGTTTGCCACAGAAACCGAAGTGTTACAGAGATAACAAACCGAAGTTGCTATTTAGTGATTTGCCTGGTGCACAGACAGAAACACAAAGTATCTGTTCATCCTGTAAACCACAGCCTGGCAACATTTTGCAGACAGTTTACTACACAACTGCACCAATTTTCTCTGTTGAAAC